AAGTACATATATTTTCCTATCCGTAATACAATTTTACTTATTATTTTACAAAATTTTCAAATAATAATTGATAATATTATTGTTCAAGTATAATAAAACTCTAATTTTAATTGGTAATCTATATTCTATATTCTATATCTATATCTATATATAATTAAAAGTAAAATCGTGCTAGTCAAATTTTCCTCTCAAAATTTAGAGACATTTTTGTAATATCATCTATTATTAATATATAGATATTATATACAATTAATAATATTATATATATATATATATATATATATATATATATATATTATTTTCTATTTTTTATAATAATAATAATATATTCTTCTAGTATATACTGTATATTTATATTAGAAGAATATATTATTATTATTATAGAAAATAGAAAATTATATATATATATATATATATATATATAAAAGTAAAATCCTCATATCTAATTTTTCTGTCCAAACTCAAGGATATTTTAATTTTGAATTATTTTAGTAAAATTATTGATTTCATTAATTATTATTTTCTTAAAATCAGCCTATTCTCAATCAAATAAAGTTATAAATCTAAATTTTCTATAAATGTTATCGTGAAGCGCATAACACTAGAGGTGGATACTGACGGCGACAAATTTATCGATATAATTAAGAAGCAGTATATCGATAGAAAAGAATCAATAAGCAGTATAAGAAAAAGAATCATTAAGATATTTTACTATTAATCTTTTAGGTAAGATTTTGCGTAAAAAAATAGAATAGAATTGATTATTAATAATTTTACCTCATTTTACTATTAATCTTTAAGAAAATTAAAATTGTGCGTAAAAAATGTAATATAATCAATTATTAATAATTTAGCTTTATTTTACTATTAATCTTTAAGAAAGATTTTGTTAAAAAAAATGAAATAGAATTAATTATTAATAATTTAATTTTAAATTGAAGTGCATATATTTTTCTATCTGTAATACAATTTTACTTATTATTTTACAAAATTTTCAAATAATAATTGGTAATATTATTGTTCAAGTATAATAAAAACTATAATTTTAATTGGTAATCTATATTCTATATCTATATTAATTATTAATTAGTAAAAACAATATCCCCCTTTAAAAGTTCCCGCCTAAACAATTAGTAATAATATGAAAAGATGAAAATGAATGGAGAGAAGTTGTACGCCAAAACAATATAGAATAATATTGGGAAGGAAATTAATAATAATATGGAAAAATGGAAATGAATGGAAGGAAATATTAGTCATGTGATATTTAAGATATTTACTAAAATGGAAGGAAATGTTAGCCATTCGGTTAACTAAAACTTTCGAATCGAATTAATTGTTAATCGAATTTTGAAAAAACCTTTAACTATTAACCGAACTGATCTCAATCACATATCAGGGCATCTCAATAGGAGAATCTTTGAGGATTTTGAAACAATAAAATCTAACCTTAACAAATGGAGGTGTTGCATTTTGGAAAAAAAATTCTTCTACAACACCCCACATTTTGTCAGCAACCCTTGTCAGATTTTTTTTTTTTTTTTAAAGGTGAGAGAGTGGCCCTCATGGGCCATTGAGATTTGAGAGTGTCCGCCAATCTCAATTGAAGATCTATTTTTTGTTTTATTTTGCTGGTCGTTGCATTTGCAACGACCATCTTCTTGTTTGTTTTTATTTATTTTTTAGTTTTTAATTTTTAATTTAACTGGTTAACATTCTTGTTTTTTTTTTTGGGAGAAGTGTCAAATAGGTTCATCTACTATTTCGAAGTATTCAATTACCCCCATCATCTAAAATATATGCTAATCAGACACATTTACCTCCTAAAATTATTCATTGAGCTTTAATAAAAACGAACCCTCTATTTCTCTCAACCATCGAATGTTAATATACCAAGATGAATAGATCAATTTAGTTATCACTTTTAAACTAAAAACATGTTCTCACATAAGATAGAGTCGTGAGTTCAATTTTAATATTATTTACCTCTGGAGTTTAATTTGATCTTAGCTGTGCATCCGTAAGCACCATGCATGGTGCATCCGGATTCAAAAACGACGTCGTTTTGACGTCTAACTTAAAAAAAAAAAATCATAATTGCATAACTACACATCCATAATTTCATAACTATAAATCCAGTATTGCATAACAACACATCCATAATTTCATAACTATAAATCTAGAATTGCATAACTACACATCCATAACTTCATAACTATACATCCAGAATTGCATAACTACACATCCATAACTTCATAACTATAAATCTAGAATTGCATAACTACACATCCAGAATTGCATAACTATACATCTAGAATTTCATAACTAAAAACCCAGAATGAATGAACTAAAAAATGAATAACATAATGTTGTTGTTGGGAATCGAAACTGATTTTTTTTTCTAATAGGAAGCGCGTTTTGACAAAATGACAGTCGTTTTTGCATCCACAGTATAATTTGCCGAATTTTGACGGATAGACATTATTATGAACGTACGTGAACTATTACAAAGTCCAATATATACAATTACAGATAGATTTCGTATGAATTTGAGAGTTTAATTTTGAATTTTAATACTCACAACATTCTTGTTGGGAGATAGGGACAAATGATATATTATAACCACACTTTTTAAAGATCCCATCTTCGGCCCGGCTTTGATGAAAGGAAGCTTGCAAGTCTTTCATGCACTCGCACATGTTTTTAAAACCCACATCTATTCCGATGTCGCACAGGCCGTCTAAGTTGGAGCAGCACGCCGGCGACGGCGAATCTTCGTGTCCGTTGAGGTACTCTTCGCACTCGGAGATATGACGGATCACAGCTGGGCAGTACTCCGACGCCGGCGACTGGACGTAATTGTCGTCATATTCATATTCGTAATCGTCACTATTTCCCGACTCCGGCGCCGGCGACTGGGGGTTATCGTAGTCAGATTCATCGACAACGTAGCCGTTGTAGCTGAAGGGCATTGCCTTGCCCAGACTCGAAACTGCAAGAAACATTGACAGGCACAGAAGGAGAAAATAGGAAGAAAAAGAAGAAGAAGAAGAAGAAGAAGAAGAAGATGATGAAGCCATTTTTATTTTGTTTTCGATTTTATTATTATTGTTTTTTATATTTTATATTATTTTTCTGATCTCCTTTTGTTATTTGGGATGGTAAACTATGTTTGTGTATATATTTATATATATAGTGTTTGTTCATAACGTACGCAATTAATGTATTAATGCACTTGTAATAATATGTTTTTTGTCGGCCTAAATGTCTATTGTACTTGTAATAAAAGCACAACAGAACGTTTAATTCATGGAATAAGTTAAAAATAAGATTACATTTTTCTTTTGAATACATCTATTCCGTTGTTTGTTTAACGTTTATTCCAAGAATAGTATTTCTTGAAATGAGTTATTCTCTCTGTGGAAATAGCCTCTCCTAGGGCCCGAATGAGCGCTATTCCACGTCGAGGGAGATAATGGCGTGGCTGGTTTGGAGGATATCGATTTTGTAATAACATTTTATTCTTATTAGTATTACATTTTCCAATATAAGTATTACATGATCTTGATCCGACTCGTCTCACAGATCTAACACAAATTTTTGCCTTGTTCGTAACGTATATGTAACTAACAAAGCGTTTGATTAATGTATTACTGTACTCGTAATAAAATACTTTTATCATCCTAAGTGTCTGTTTGTTTTCATAATTAACCTCTCTTACCTTACAACGGTATACATGTTCATATGTTAATAGATGTTCTTATTTGAAACTAAGCCTATATGGGGTTGGTATATGTATGTAATGAATGATTCAATTAGAGTGCACGGGACATTGTCCTCGGGCGATAGGGATTCGGAGGTCGTTGTCGTCCCAATTACACAACTCATAAATCTCAGTTTGGGCGCGACGATGAAGGAAGAAACGTCGCAAATCTTTGGTGCAGTCGCAAATCCTCTGAAAGCCCGCCTCAACGCCCAGGCCGCCCAGGTTCATGACGCTCTGGCAACACGCAGGCGATGGCGTATCCTCGTGTCCGTTCAGGTACTCCACGCACGTCGAGATGTAACGCTTCACGGCGGGGCATCCCCACGCCCCCTCGTCTTCCCGCGCCGCCGGCGGCGGGTCGCCATGTTCAATATAAGGAATTTGGTCGGACGAGATTGCCTTGCCCACACTTGAAACGGCAACAAACATTGAAACACACAGTAGTAAAGAAGAAGAAGAAAAAAGAGTCATTTTTATTTTTATTTTTTTAATTTTTTGTTATATTTTTCTTCTTTTGTGATTACATATATAGAGTTGTTTTCATAACGTAGGCAATTACTAAAGCATTTAAATTAAATTGTTAAAGGAAAATATTATTATTGTAAATTTTTAATTGAGCATTGCTAGGCATCCATCTATTTTTTGCCTCAACATGTTTTTTTTTATGTGTAACGCTTATTTGAGACCGTCTCACGTGTCTTAATTCGTAAAATGGGTCAGATCTTTGATGAATGGATCGAATCTTTGACCTCATTAATCATTTAACCCGTCTCACGGATTATGACCCGTGAGACAGTTTCACACATATTTTTACCTTTTTTTTTTAATATTATTTATTGGGTTCTTTTACCGAGTAATAATATCAAAGGAAGGATAATTCTAAGAGGTAAAAACATATTTTTCTTTTTAATTGCAGTTAGCATTAATTACTGTATTAATGTACTTGTAATAAAATGGTTTAATTGCTGTTAGCATATAATTAATGCATTAATGTACTTGTAATAAAATGGTTTTGTCATCCTAAAATTCAAAGATAATTGAAAATTCTTTTTCTCTAAATGCCAATGCACAACCATAAATTATAAAAATATCTTCTTCTTTTCTTTTTTTTTTTTTTTTCAATCCTTGATCATCTTAAATGAATTCAACCTTGGGGAAACCGAAAAAATAAGTATCACCATAGTTTCACATGCAAACTGATAATTAAATTATTAATTTGTTTTGAAGAATAGTATATGAAATACATAAAATTTGATTGACAATCCATTGATGTTCTATTCACATTAATACATAGATTAAAGATAAAAGATCATTGTTTTAACATCTATAGCAATTTGGAGTAGCTGGGCATGTCATATGGGCTAAATTTTTCTTCTTAAACCCAGCTGTAAAATTAATATACATCTTCCAAATATAAAACAAAGAAAAAAAAAAACAAAAAAAAACACCAACCAAAACACAGAAAAATATCTTTCTTGAAAGTTAAAATCAAGACAGATCTCCTCAGTCACCAAATAAACGAAAGAGAAAACCCCATTTTTCCTATTGATGATCCCTCTGCTGCTTTAGGTAGTGAAATCTTAATCCATGATGCATATGTTGGTCTTCTTTTGCATGTATCCTAGGGTCTGCAGAGCAAACATGGGAACATGAGTGAAAAAAAGAAGCTAAAATTCCAAGGAAATGAAACCAGATTAGGATTTTGATGAACACTCACCAAGTCCTTGCTAGAATGGTAGTTGGATTGAATCCCAGCCAAGGTTTCTTGGCCTGGCAAAATTTGCAGCTCACTCGACGAGTTTGATGAGTTCTGAGTGGGACTATTTTCATTGCCCTTCTCCTCCAACGACACTATTTCAATGTCGTTTGCCTGTGATTTTACCTCACGAGCAATATGCTGAACCAAAAGAAATAATTCACACGCGTATAAGGTCACATTTGGATTGAAAATTATTCACAGGTGAACAACAAATATACAGTTGCCAGGTAGTGGTGTAGCATAAAATGAGCAGGTTGAATCTATTGGTCAGAATTTGGATTGAAAGGCATTATTAGTACTCAGAATATTATTTCAAAAATGTCTTGTGTGCATTGGAATGGGTCATTGATGAATGGCAGTATAGTGCATTAAGGATTCTTACTTCACGGATGTCATTAATTGACAAATTTGAATCACAGCAAAGGTAGGGCTTGTCCAAACTCGGTGTTTCTTCTACATTCAAGGAAACAAGCTGAAGGTGTGCGTCTTGCTGTAGTAAAAGGAAAATGAAAAGACAACTTATTATAATGCAGAAATGAAATGATAATACGAGCAATCATTCTCAAGTCAACAACACAAGAATAATCTAGTACTGTACCTGGGATTCATTTCTCTGTCCACTCTTAAGATAATTAGTTAACTTGGATAACCGGTTGGCATGAACATTTCTGCTGCTACCAGCACTTCCATGTCGGACATGACTCCTCACACCACCTCGACCCCAAGTAAATGCTTCTGGCTTTAGTACAGGTGCAACATGTCCAGAGGAATCATCTGGATTTTCTCTGATTCTTTCAGCAGAATTTTCCCTGCGTCCATCTTCTGGATTGATGGCTGATGGTGATGGATAGGCCTGGTTGGATGGGGTTTCTGTGCGTCTGTTGCGTCTCCTGGGCTTGATTTGTGTCCCATGTTCATCGGTTGGAGATTTGTGCTCAGGATCATCTTCACTCTCATTATGATCGGATTGGTGAAGTTCAGTGGTCTGGCTGTTTCTTCTTCTCCTTGAATAAGCATTCTGATAATTACGAGATCCTCTGGGTGTAGATGTAGTAATCAGATCTTTATTCAATTTCCGCCTCTTGTTTAATGCTTCCGATTGTCGTTGAGAAATTTGGGCAATGGACGCTTGGATCTGTGAATAACATTTTGAGATACTCATCAGAAGTCAGGAATCAAGATCAAACAGTAAAACTCTTTGATGCACAGCCAACCAAAACTAACATCTGTTGAAACTGAAAGGTGTAGCAGACCAACTGCAAATCAATGAGGTATGGAAGAAAAATTTAACCCACTTTGCTAGAACTAATCATTGAGAGAGAAAACATCAGTCCATGATTCCATACCACGTCTTTACTACTGTTATACTCCATATTTTGATTTTCTTATATTTATCTGTTTGTAAAATATACAATTTAACCACTTATAAAGGTGAAATCTGCAATGGGATTTTTTTGGGGGGTTATCCGGTCAATAGAATTAGAAGATCTGGACCAGCAAAAGCCACAGGTGGAGATTTTACTGATAACAATTATAAGCAATTTGCATGCACCATCATTTACACGGTGTAGGAATTGAGACTGATCTGACCTGCTGATTAAGTGCTCTCTCCTCTTCATGAAACACAAGTTCCTGAAATGAAGTATTCAACAGCAGAGGAACGTTAACAGTAATTAGGGAATGAAGGAAGAAATTTTCTGTGTATTACATTTTTCCCCCTTTAGGGGAAGGGATGGTATTGACAATTACAGGCTTAATTCCAAGTAAAGATATACCTCCTCTTCGTACTTCTCAACATCTGGATATATTGCCTGAATTATTGCATCAAAGATGGGATCGTCTCTTAACGAACGCCGACTAGCACAGTGTATGCGGCAAGCAGGACACTCATTGTTCCTAAAAATGGGTTATTACAGTAAACAATATGAACTGGAGTGTTAACATATGGAAATCCTCAAGCATAACTAGTTGGCCCATAAATGATGTTTATTCTTCGATAATAAAACACAATTAAAAACTAAGTGAAGTGTGTTACGATGTTACATACCCCAATCTCATTGACTTATCAATGCACTCCCTGCAAAAACGGTGTTGGCACCCCATCACAACACGAGTTCTCTTGATGATACCTGGCCATGAATGGAGGTGCTGCCAATGTTTAGATACTAAATTACACAATTGTGGTTTCCTGAACAAAATGTTTAGCAAAAAACTAATAGCAACCACCCATGTTGGCGATAATAGTGACAGGAAGCAACCACCATGTTCAGAACCAGCATTCCATGCAGGAAAAGATCAAAAAGCAAAAGTTGCTATGTTTTCATAGTACTCCGAATAAATCACCAAACAAGTTGACTTTTGAGTAAATGAACCGCTAAACAAGGTTAGAGTTGGAATATAACTCATCATAAAAACACTACATGTGAACATTGAAGAAGATTTGCTAAACCAAGATTTCACCATATAAAAACATCCACTTCCACCATGGAAACTCACTCAATATATTAATATAATTGGTTTCATGACAAGCCCTCAAGGAGTATATTAGTAGCAGAGGTATCTGGTTGGTTGGAAATGGTATAATATCATTGTTTTGGATTATACAACTTTTTCCTTTGGACCAACTGTAAAAAATCAGCATCGCATGAAAATTCATTCTTCCCCATGCCCCATACAACAACAATATGGGGGAACTGCAAAAGTAGATAAAACTTGAGAAGTGTTTAATAGCAACAGACAGAAATAGAAGAACATTTTCAGAACAATGAATACAGGTTACGTATCAATGCCCTGGAATAGTATTACTGTTGGACAGGGAAAAAAGGTTCTTACATAAAAAGCCAACAATACTTGGACAAATAGGGGCAGGCATTCTACACCTCTACGAGCTTCAAGTACTCAAAAAAAGTTGCATCACAACTCTAGCAAAAATGCAAAAATTTATAATAGTATATATTTAAATTTTAAAATAATAAAAGATAAATGTCTGAGTACCTAGGCATATTGGGCATTGTACATTGCCACGAATATCTGATCGTGACACAGAAATCAACCTGCAAAAGGTGAATTAATACAAATACCCAATTATTAGTGAAACTTAAATAAGGTTCAGGAAAATGAATAACCAAGACACATATGAAATAATGCATGAATCTTCTGTTAAGAAAAAGAAGACGCAAACACACACAGACAATGCAGAAATATTCATGTATTTATTGGTTAATGATAACAGAAGGGATATGACATTCTGATTTTTTTCATTTTGGCTCTGGCTGAAAAGTACAGCTTACAGCCTGGTATTTGTTCAACAGACAAAAAAAAAGGTATGGGAAAACAGAAGCTACATATTATCCTAATAATAATGCACGTTTTTGCCAGAAGACTGTCATAAGAAGACAAATGGTCTCATTTTGTTCAACAGACCTCTATCCACTTGCTTTTTTCAAAAACCACAAGGTTCAAGAGACTGAATGAAGTGCAGATTCCTCAATTAGCAAGGTATAACTGTGACTATAGACATTGCTAAACTAGTGTTCAACAGACCTGGTATTTGTTCAACAGACAAAAAAAAAGGTACGGGAAAACAGAAGCTACATATTATCCTAATAATAATGCACGTTTTTGCCAGAAGACTGTCATAAGAAGACAAATGGTCTCATTTTGTTCAACAGACCTCTATCCACTTGTTTTTTTCAAAAACCACAAGGTTCAAGAGACTGAATGAAGTGCAGATTCCTCAATTAAAAAGGTATAACTGTGACTATAGACATTGCTTTGCATAATTGTTGACTTTTACCATCCCAGTAAGAAAACTCTTAAGGTATCAAGGAAGAAGAGAGGCCATGTACAAAATAGATAGATAAGATTCAAACATATAAGTCAAATTAAGAAATGGTAGTGCCATCCCTATGCTTAAATATGTGCCTTTCCAGAAATCCTATGTAACAATTCCAGTAAATAAATACAACTACTTTTCCAAGGAAAGAAAGAGAGAAGGGAAAGGTAACTCTGAGCTACTAACTTAGCCAATTAAATTTTAAGTGCACTAAAAGTGTAAAGTTGATTGCAATAGTTTTCCAAAGTTAATACTCTGCAGAATATACTTGACATCATACCAGATGTAAAAGCCTTGGTGACTGTTGGTGTATATTAATAAAACCTCCTTACTCGTTAAAAGATTTTATATATACACTGGAAATCACTTATAGCGGTGCCAAAAAGAAAATATCAACTTAGGCTGCTTGTAAGAAGAGAGATCATATTTTAGAAGCCACTTCCAAGTGATATGTCTAACAAGACTGATATAATGTGGTATAGAGTGTTGCTTAAATAAACAACTAAACTGAAAAAGCAAAAAAGAAATGAGATTAACACTATACTGTTCTTTCCTCATGGTTTACTTTTGACATCAGAAGACAAGAATAAGGCAAATACAAGATATTTATGATATCTCCAACAAAGCCTATTACCTTTCTATGAATATCAAATACAAAACTAGTTTGATTTCAGGAAAAAAGCTCCTAGTTTTAAGTAGCAATTAAAAATTTTCAGGCAAATTTATGCTTAGAGTATGGCCATGAAAAATATGCATCAAAAAGACCCAAGAATACCAACTAAAGATTCTGAAAATGCCCATCCTCCAATATTTTGAGCCCTAGCACCTTTTCTACCAGAGCCTATGGCTTCTTTTGCACATTTTGTTTCATATTAAGAATGTAAACAAGCTTAAATAACTAAAAGGTATAGTGAAGATACTCAATAGTAGTTTAATAAGAAACAGGCAAAGGAAAAGCCCCATCATCTATAAAATATCAATCAACATCAACCTTGAGCATTGTAGCAAGTATGTAATAAAGCAACCTAGAAACTAAAGCTAGCTGAACTTGAGCAAGAATGTCCACAAATTATACTTGAGAGTTGTGAACATAAATCAGAGACATAATATCCAGCACAAGAAAACTACCAAAAGTTAACACCAAAGACTGTTTGCAGTTGCACATATGCTGGTATGCAGCTATGTGCAATTAATGGAAGCATGAGAACTATACAATGTTGTTGGGCTCTTCTAGTCTTCTACACATGAACAAAATCTCTAGGTGAACCCTCACATTAATGTAAGGTTTGCTAATGACCATGGAATGCAACTATTCAATTCTAGAATGATTTTTGCAGAAATAATGTTAAACAGTTCTACTGCTCTAAGCACTATCCTTTTCTCCATGACATTGGAAAACACAAATGAAAAACTGTGAGAATGTGATCCACAAAAAAAAAAAAAAAAAAAAGGAAAGAAGAATTCAAAGAAGTATATGCTTATATGCTTTAAAGGCAAAACCCCAGTAGGGTTTCCATATTCACAATCACATGTATATAGAAAGCATTATCAGCACTGGCAAGAAATAGCATTATATCATGCAATACCTTCATGCACATTAAATCAAGCAGAATGAGTACATGTAAACTCTTGACATTTTGAAATCACACTCAAAACAGTCAAAAGATCATAACTTCAAAAGAAATAACCTCAATCAGTCCAAAAAAAAAAACCCCACACAGATGCCCAATTCAGAAACTTGACTCATGCAACAAAAATAAACAGAATTCCCCTCAGAAACCATCAAACTTTAAAATAAACACTGAATGAAACAACCCCAATAGCATAACAGAGACCTCGAACTAAGCAAACAACAGAACAAACAGCAAACTGGCATCTCGAAAACAAAATAACACGTGCATGTAAATGGGGATACATATATGGCATGAGAACAAAGGATTTACTCGTCAAAGTCTTCAGGATCAGTTCCACTCCCATCAGAATCTGAAAATCAAATCGAGAAAAATCAATTGCCAAACCAGAAGCAGAACCAAAATGCAAACACACATTCGCAGCTCAGCAAGCATACATATATACACAGATTCGTGTATATATGTACACCGATTCGCAAACACATACAGATTGGGTGCGTGTGTGGATGTGTGTTATATTCTTCACTAAATACGTAACCATCCTCAGAAGATTCTCTGATTGATTCCTGATCATGATTGGGCGCCTGCTCCTCCAGCTGCGCCCGTTCCTGCTCTCCCGTTTCTAGCTGGATTCGTTGCTGCTGTTGCTGTAGCTCGTCTTCCGGAGCTCGGTTTTGTTCCCCGCCGCCACCACCGCGACGTCGAGATTGCTTCCCACGGCGCCGTTGATTCCGCCGGTGTTGGGGCTGATACAAGCTCTCATCATCGTCTTCGTCCTGATAATTCGACGAATAGCGCTTCTGCGCCGGCATTTCCCTCCTCTCTGCGCCCACGCTTTGCCTTTACAGATTATTGGCTCCTCCCTCCGTCATCTATATGCACATATCAACATATACGCATACGTATATTTGTAATCTATATACATATAAGTGGAGATATTCAAAGAAGAAGCAAAATTGGGAGAGGGCAAATTGATAAGAATGTATATGTAAACTGTGCTCTTCGCTTTCTACGAAGAGAAAGAGACGAAAGGGGAGGACTAGACGCAAGATTTTTCACTTTTTTTTCCTCCACCATTATATATATATATATATATATATATATATATACTGCTTTCATCCTTTTTTTTTTTTTTGTATGTAATAATACTGAAAATTACCTAACTTTCCAATTTTTTAATATTTAATTTATTATTATTAGTAGTAAATTACATGTGTATAATTTGTATTACTAAATTTATAAATGTTATAAATCATTTAAAAAAAAGTTTGACCCTTAATGTTGTCTTGATTGACTAAAATCGAGAATACTACATTGCCCATATTTGGACAATAGAGTTTAACTTGAAATCTTATAATTAGCTCATAGTTGGACAATAGAGTTTAATTTGAAATCTTATAATTATTAAGTTAAGTGTTTGACCAATTTGACTAAGGATTGCTCCTGTCATATTGTCATATTTTTATTTATATTATTAGATGTTGTGTAATTTTGATAATGTAAAACTATTATATATTATTAGTATTAATTCTCAAGTGTGAAACAAGATTGGGAAATACGAGTACCTCTCGGAGTGTTTGATCTCTCCCCTTCTTCCAAGTGCAATAAATGTGCATAAAGATTTTAGGGATACATGTCGACCTCTCAGCATGTCTTTCACGTGTCTCTCGCAAACACGACAACAAAAGGGACAATGTCAAATGTCGATGTAAGTCTTATTATCTTAGGGATGTGAGTTTCGAATGACTTGCATTTGCCAATGTATGTTCGGTGGTCGATCATGATCGATTTGCATAGGTAACCTAACCAATCTTTATCCTGACTTGTGCGCCCCATGGCGTTGTTAAAGAGTTTGGGTCTGATCGAAAAGTGCAAAGGACTTTGTACTATACGCTCAGCATGTAGTAAGATAGTGTATATTCACTATCATATACGGAGTATTATATGTAATTTCACCATCAACAATATAATGGCTTCACTCGGACATGGTTACGTTCTCGATCAACACAAACCTCTCACTCCCTATGAATCGAAACATACTATTACATTCTTAGTCCTCTTTTGCACAATCGGGGATGTTTCTCACTAGTCTTCTCATTCCCTCCTTATCTTTCAAGAGCTTGACTTCTTCCACGCAATATACTTCAAGAAGCAAGTTAGCTACAATAACTCTTTTCACATACAAGTTGTGCAATCCTTTTAAATTTTTTATTTTTAAAAATTAATTGATACTTAATGTATACTCGTTAACATTTTATTTTTTAAAATATACTTATCACATTTAAATTTAAAGTTGGTCAATTAATTGACCATTAAATAGGGATTTTGACAAATTGACAAATAATGTGGAATAAAAAGAGTATTGTTTAATTTCCTTAATAAATATTTTGAGAGTGATTGAATGGGAAATTTAGCAAGGGCAAGACGTACTCAGGTGTATTAAATTGGCATTGCCAAACAATATGTACTCTATAGAATATGTTAAGTAGGGTAAGGTGTATTGAATTGGCATTGCCAAACAATATGTACTCTATCTATAGAATGTAAGTAGGGCAAGGATACATAGGGCACAAAATTTAATTTGAAAATGCTACATAGGAAACAAATTAGGCATTTACCATCATACTCGGCATAATCAACTTCTTTGTTATTTTTTGAAAGTAACTTCTTTGTTATTAATAATTACAAAGTTTCAATTTTGACTCTCGGTGAGAATTATCTATTAATTCTGTTGGTTTAATTCGGTCAATTATAACCAACCTAAGTTGATTTACCTCCTTACAGTCATTTGCCGCCTAGGTTACAAGGCAAATTTTCCTCAAAACGCACATCTTAGTAGCAGTTACGTTGTTGGCTTTTTCATAAATCAAAAAATTAACTTGTTTAAATTATAATAATTTGCAAATCATATCTTAAATTTTTTATGAAAAGTATAGACATTGATACTTCTTGCACCACGCGAGTACAATAAAAAATACACTTGTACGATTATGCGATTATACAAAATCGTATGATTGTGTCGCAACGACAAAATCTCAAACTTTATTTTATTTAAATAAAAATTAATACATAATAAATTGCACAAGTAAAATACACCACCAGATATATAGTAAGCCTCAATTCAACCAAGCTATATATATATAACCTCATTTTTATTATATGAAAGCTGCGGGTATTATCTTATTATTAGTTATATCATATTGATATTGATATTCATATATATATTACATATATGAATCATATCCTTCCGTGTTCATCAACTTGAATTATTTGCGCGCGGCTGGTGCCTTCTTCAGCTGCATGGGAATCCGCCGCGGAATTCTTCCTCCGCCGCTCGTTGTGTCCGGCCAGACGCCTCCGGCAACTCCTCTTGGCATCATCGAATTCCCCCACCTCATGGAATCTGCATGCAATCATCACCAAATCCCAAAATAAAATGTCCTTTTTTTTTTTTTACCAAAAAACCCACCGCTACTATATGCATGAAATAAATTAAACGCCCGCATGGGTAGCTCAACTGATCATAGAGGTGAAACTTTGAAATAATGACCAGAGATCGAGTTTACATCCTCCCAAATGCTCTGTTGGATCGGGGTGTGGAGACCCTTAGGGCTGGGGTTCAGCCTTTGGAATAATGAAATAAATTAAACCCCAATTTTAATTTGTGATCTTAGTTACAAAAGATCACAAAAAAAAAGTAAATTAGCATATCAAACTATTCTGACTAACAGAATTCTCGTGGTTACCAAGCCAACAACTTTGCTGGTTGCCATGATAAAATGACTTTCTTGAAGATTAAGGAAATGTCATATGTTAAAGTTGGCCGGCCGGCGGCCGGTGACGTTAAAGAAACACAACCAACCATTCAGTCAACCCACAATTTGTTTTGCAGTAAATTTTATATAATGTGACTACCCAATACTGAAAGAATACAGTACAATGAAAGTAATATAATTACCGGCTGCATTGCTGGCAAAAACGTTGCCGGAGTCCGGCGATGATGACGACCTGCGCCTTAGCATGGTGCTCACAGACCTTATGCCGCCTATGGTACTGCTTAGCGTCGCTCAGATCAGCACTGCACTTTTCAACTTGGCAACACCTCATTGATCCGCCGCCATAGCCGCCGCCGCTATTCTCTCCTCCACCTTTCCTACCTCCTCTCCTCTTCTTATTGTCTTCATCCCGCAGTAGCAAGTCCTCCTCCATTGAACCACTTCTCCCCATCTTCCTGCAACTTGCCCGCCCATCATGCATATTTATATGAGAATTGGTGAAAGTGGGAGCTAGCTAGCCAGAGAGGGATGTGTAGTAAGCTAAGGACCACTTCTCATTCTCAATTATTCTTCTTTTGTGTTTGTTTGCTAGTGCTTGTGTGAGTGTGTTTGATAGCTACTTCAATCTTTTCTTGGCACTGAGTAACCTTCTGGACAATACTATACTAAATCGTAATGTGGGTCAAGTCTAACATTCTGTCAGAGGCTAATTGCTACACAAGTATAAAGAAATAAAGTTGTACATGCATTCGCTACTAGCTGTAGGTTTTGACTTAGTAGTACGATCTGGGTACGGTAACATTGACTACAAGTTGCATTTTCCTTACTAGCTATATGGTTTTAGGAATAATGATAAGGGTTTGATAATAACATATGAATATACAATAAACGTATTGTTCAACTATCAATTTAAACTTTTAGTTAAGACGATAGAGTACGTACAATTTCAGACCCAAACTATAATAATAGATAGTGTTGTAAAAATCAGCCTAGGCAAGGCGATTTCAGCCCTATGCACCTTTTAGTTGGTTGGTCGACTAGGCGCCCTAGCTAGGTGCCGAGTTGGACGTCTAACTCTTGCCTAGTTGGCGTCCAACTAGGCTGAGTCAACACCCAATTAGGCTGAGTGGTATTTTTTGTCTGCTCGGTTGCTCATTTAGTATATTCCTCTAGCAATGTGCTCAACTAGCCATCTAACATATGTAGTTGACTAGTTTGTAAGATTATAATAGTCTAACAACTCACAGCCCTGAGTGGAAAAAGTGAAGATGATATTTCTCGAATTACTAGACCGCCTAGGCAGCTCTAGACACACCCGGGCCAGTCGGGCGCCTAACTAGCGCTTAGCGTCTTCTGCAATATTGGTAATAGTTGATTTCTCTTGTGGAGTTGACATGGAATCTTATTAGTGTGGGGGAGGGTCACAAGAATGTTGTATTATTATATATGTTCATGTGTGCAGTATGTGGGAATTGAAAGCCAATCAGGTGGAATATAGAAAGCTACATTTGATGTTGAAGGCGGCATCATATCATCTTTTGTTCTCCAAAAACTGTCATCCATATGATCGTATCCCTAACATGATAGCACAATTTTGTTGGAAGGTTTTCAACATATATTGCACCAAAAAATAAGAAATAAATAAAGCAAATGCATACAGATCAGATTACCAAGTGATGATAAGTGTTGGATTCGATATGAACTATATATATGGCTAGCAATGATGTCGTGTTCCTACGTTGTGGCCCACGTTTTCGGTTCCCTCTTACCTGTCGAACATGATTTATTCTGTCACTGTCTCATTTTTTCACCCCCCACTCATCATATATAAAACAGTAGCTAGTTGCTGCATCTTGTAACGAATCAGTTAATTGCTACATAGAAGATAGGGAGAATGGCATATTATATTTTGTTGGAGTTTGGAGTTTGTGAACGGGCCGGGTAAGAACACTGAAGGTGACCTTAATCGACAAAAAATTATCGTAAAGTAATTCAACTTATGTTGTGCATGCATGGTCAATCGGTTCAAATCAAGAAAATCAATAGGCAGTTTTGAGCTCTCACAGAAAGTTAAAATATTGTGATTATTAAGTTAATTATTTGGTCAATTTGGCTGAGTTGCCACTCAATTAATTATGTCTTAAAGACTTGTAAAACTTTAAGGTAATTGGATTATTAGAACTCAGAGTTCAAACATGAAGTTAAGTGAAGAGACAAATGTTTATTTTTACCTCTTGCCATTTTAGGGTTTATTGATTTTTTTGCCCACGTGCAACTAATAGAATATTAACGAACCAAAATCACCGCCTTTGAAATTAATTAACGGGTCAAAAATAGACATAACAAGTAACAACAATATAATTGAAGAATTCAGTTTACACATGCCATATAACTCAATAACCAAAATTTGAGGTTTTCATGCTAAAAAATTATGAGTTCGATTATTGTCAACTATTTGTTTAGTTAATTAAATCGGTTGTATGTATAGAGTATTCTCATACGGTTTACCTTTCTTAAGTGATTTGTGAGTTATAACAGAGTTTATTTCGTGCACACTCTTAGCCTCTCTGGTAGTAGCACTGGATTTTCTTTGTAACCTTAAAAAAGTCCACACCCATACCTAAATTGTTGAGATCTATCCATTTTAGATATAATCTCTACGTACACTATTGTTGTTGAGTTTCGAATTGCTTGTCTTTTCCTATTTAATGGCTTTGTGGCCCTTAAGATATGAATGTTTTAGTGTTAACTTTCGGAAGCATCCCTACAAACTTTATATAGTACCATGAAAAAAGGAGAAAAAAAAAAGCATTTATTCCGGATAACAATTTCAATTCATGTACACGTATGTACTTGTGTAAGACAAACAAACGAAAGTGGCAGTGTCAACTAGGCATCAACGATTCTTCACGTAGTAAAGAGAGGGGAGAAGGAGCAATCCTCAGAGGAATATATAATAAGCAGTGACTAAAGAATGCCAAAACATATCCGAACTCAATTAGTTCAATCAAAGTTTGAATCTCAATAAAAATTATGAGTTTACTAAGATATCTGGACTGATGAGATGAAGACTCTTTGTATGTAGAAATTAAAGAAGGTGGATATATAGAGATTAATGGGATAACTCGAATTTTACAAATGTATCAACAAAAAACAAAACAAAACAAAACAAAACAAAAATGTTGTGTGGGATATGAATACTGATGAGAGGTTTGGAAATTGGAATATGGAACCTCCAATCCTCCATGACGTATGATCTTATGCGCCAATGTCCAATGAATTTCAAGAACATTCGACCTCTTAGGACACCTGTGTTCTTGATTTTTTCGAGTAACCAACTTTTGATAACGTAATACAATCTGGATAGTTATGTTATATACATTTAAAAAAGGGAAAATAACATTTTTTTCCCTGTGTTATATACTTAGGCTCTGTTTGGCAAACCTAGCTGAAAAGCTATAAGCTAGGAGCTGATAGCTGAAAAGGAGCTGAAAGCTGAAAAGCTATAAGCTCGGAGCTGAAAATTGAAGAGCTGTTAAGCTAGCTGTTATGATTGAAAGTGTTTGGTAAAATTAGCTTTTTGATAAGCAGATAAATGTAAAAAGACTAAAAAAGACATCTTCATAAAATTTAAATTTTTTTTGAATGCTCATAAAATTTAAATTAGTTTGTTTACATATTAAAATTTAACATTTCGTCTTCCAAAAAAAAAAAAGTAAACATTTTTTAAAATAAAACTATTAGCATGATCGTGATCGTCTAGCATCCCATAATGAAGTAGCAATATTGTCATTGGTTGAAGCCATATTGCTAATTTAATAATAATAATAATAATAATAATAATAATAAGCTAAAGATGAAGAGATTGGCGTGAAGCCATATTGCTAATTTAAAAATAATAATAATAATAATAATAATAATAATAATAATAATAATAATAATAATAATAATAAGCTAAAGATGAAGGGATTGACGTGAAAGTTGGGATAGGGGAAGAGAAAGAGTTTTAATTCATAAGGTTAAAATATGTCATTACTTTAAAATAATAAGGGTAAAGATGGAAAAAAAGTTAGGAAGCTAGTAGCTTATTTTGAAACGCTACCTAAAGTAGCATTCCAAAATAAGCTCTTATTTTAAGCTAGGAGCTTATTTTGAGAACATTACCAAACAGAGCTTATTGCTTATTAGTAGCTTAAAATAAGCTATAAGCTCCTAGCTTTATCGTTGCCAAACAGAGCCTTATAGTATTTTTTCCCTTTCAATTATTCAAGTGGCTATTTTCCTCCCTGAAATGTTAAATGGACATATTTACCCTTAAAATAAATATTTTATTTATTTTTCTTCTCCAACAAATTATGACCACGATTCGGTTCAAACCGAACAGACACTATAACAACTAAACTGAAATATTCCAATTACAATTTACAATTATGAGTTTGATTATTATCAAATATTTTTTTAGTTAAACGAGTTGTATAGAGTATTCTCATGCGATTTACCTTTCTTAAGTAATTTGTGGACTATAACAGAGTTTATTTCGTACACACTCTTAGCCTCTCCGGTAGTAGCACCGAGTTTTCTTTGTGACATAAAAAAATTCAATACCCATAGCTAAATTTTGTTCATTTTAGACATAATCTCTGCACTATCACTACCAAGTTTTGAATTGCTATCTTTTCCTATTTAACGAATTTGTTTTCTTCTTCTTTTCTTTCTCTTTCCCTCTTCTCTTTCTTAATCACACTTACAAAAATCATTAAAAAAAAAAAAAAAAAAACTTTACTATCAATGTTTCTTCTAGATTTATTACTATAGGTATTTATGTAATTGTAATGTTATATTTTTGTTTATAATTTTCATGATTTTAAAATGTAGCTAAAAAGGACAAAAGGACGTTCATCGTACGAATGCAGCGCCCTGCACACTGTAGCAAAAAGCTAAAACATGGTGGAGAAGATGGCGCAGAAGTATCAGCGCCAAATTCTCCACCCGCCTTCATAAAGATATATTTGTAACTTGTCCACTCAACTCCGACATACTGGAAATATGGAGAATTAGCAAAAAACTGAGGTTTTCAAAAAAAAAAAAAAAAAAAAAAAAAAAAAAAGAAGCAAGAAACTGTGGAACCGGCAGATAATCAAGAACGAGAAGAGGAGGAATATTGAGAGGTAATTATTAAACTACTCTGTTAGCCTGATTTTTTTCTTTTGTTTTCAAATATGGTCTTGCATGTCATTTGTCAGTCATTTTGTTAGATTTTTTTTTTTTTTTTTTTTTTTTTGCGATGATGATGGGTCGTCGGTGGCATCGCCGGTTGTCCACTGGTATCCACGCTGCCCCTAATACAACAGCGCCCCTGCAAAGTCACACTGAACCCGTGTGCCTTGCCCAATGCTCCACTAACCAGCTATCGCCACTAGTTAGCAACACGCACAACGCAGCATCAAACGTTCCAGTGCATGTTCATGAATCGCTTCATCCTGAAGCGTCCGACCATACCAGGTCCACGACCCCTCCTGGTATCCGCGCTGCCCAACACCACAGCGCCCCTCACCACCTTCTCATCTAGCACCTAGAAACGCCCAACAAATCCAAACAATGTTCGAACTTGTTACTAGTTACCGCTAGAACATCACCTTCACTATAATAATAGTCATTAGCATGTAACACATCCGTAGCTTCCTGCTTCTTCAACTCCTTCCAATAAGCCTCTTCCAGATTAGCTGGCTTTTTTGCCTTCAAAGTTTTCAGAAGACCCTGTTATGCCAACAAATCCTTTACCCTAGACTGCCATAACCCAAAATTCCCTGTACCATCAAACTTTGATACCTCGAATTTTGTACTTGAACGAGCCATCTCAACAGTGCTCTGATACCAATTTGTTGAGATTAACCAGAACAAGAAATCAATAATAATGGCAGAAAGGGTAAATAAGACAAGATTTATGTGGTTCGGCAAAATGCCTACATCCACGGGAGTGAAACAATTCTCAACAGTGCTCTGATACCAATTTGTACTTGAACTGACCATTTCAACTATGCTCTGATACCAATTTGTTGAGATTAACAAGAATAATAAATAATTCTCAACAGTGCTCTGATACCAATTTGTACTTGAACTGACCATTTCAACTATGCTCTGATACCAACGGGAGTGAAACAATTCTCAACAGTGCTCTGATACCAATTTGTACTTGAACTGACCATTTCAACTATGCTCTGATACCAATTTGTTGAGATTAACAAGAACAATAAATAATAATAATGGCAGTAAAGGGTAAAGAAGACAAGATTTACGTGGTTCAGCAATGTGCCTACATCCACGGGAGTGAAACAATTCTCTTATTCATAGTGATGGTGATCTTGGTGACACAACCCCTTAGGGATACAACCAATATATTTATAGGCATCTAATCCCTGTACAATGGGTCTACCCGTTTCAATCCTAGTCCTAGTATGAGACAAACTCATATTCCTAATCCATATATGAGACAAACTCAACAATGAAGAACATTGTAAGAAGGACCCAGAAAATCCATATGAATCAGCTGAATCGGATGTCCACCAGTACATTACACCCACCCACATATTAACCGGCCTGTTGGTAATTTAAGGTACTCATTAGGAAGGGCTGACTTAGTGTTTCCCTATGTGGATGGGGGATCGCTAGCCGGGATAGATATTCAGGCGGAAGGGACCATTGCCTTTCTAGGGTTACAAATACTTCGTGCCATCCAGCATCTGCATCAGCAGAATGTAGTCCACCTCTCCATTGCGCCAAGACATATCTTAGTGTTCAGAAATTCTGGTAGGGTCCAACTCATAGGATTTGGAAATGCAAGAATGATTGAGGTCATGATGCATCATATTTCTCAGAGACAGGCACTGACCAGATTTCGTCAAAGAGAAGAAGGCGCTTCAACAATGGGGGGAGCCCAATATATGCCTCCGGAGATGATTGAGGCAGCACGGCGCGGGATTTACATATATAGACCCTATGCTCGAGCAGTTGATGTTTGGGGGTTGGAATGATCTGTTGGGAGCTGTTTTTGGGGAGGTATCCCATAAATTGTGATTTCCATCATGGGGACTTAGCAACAATTTACCATGGGGTAACACATGCTCTACCACCTGCACCAGTGACAGCACCACCGGCACCGAGTAGAGCATCACGAGACTTTATTGATTTTTTAAGCTATTGTCTACACAGAGACCCAAGACTTAGAGTTCTGCTCAGGATTTATTAGAGCATAGGTTTATTACTAGGAGAGGATTAGAAAGGAATGATTCATGTCTGGTTGTAAGAACTCTAGTGATTAGCGGTTTTTGTTGGTCAGGGAATCATTGATATGTCGGGTTGTAAGAACTATAGTGATTAGCGATTTTTGTTGGTCCACTGGAAGCTATTTCACGTTGTTTTATGATTTAATCTTTAATCTAAAGATTTACTTTGTTACTTTAGAATTACAACTGATTTTCAAGTCTGTTCGAATTAAAATGATTTATGAGACTGCATTTATTTATTTATTATTAAACAAGATTTTCGAATGTCTTATTTTAGCCTTATATCCTACTTTCAACCTTCATTTATACATGAATGTCTAACCAACATAAAGTCTTAAATTGAAATAATGTTGCATCTCAAGCTATTTCTAAATGAAAACTCATTTACAATTTCTTCTGTTTATTATGGATCTAAATTCTGCAATTTTTTTATTGGGCTTGGAATTGAAGTGGAGCATTGCTAACGATGCGCCCCGAGCCCCGAGATTCGAATTCAATCCACCGATTTTCCGTTCCTCCGCCACTGCTAGTGACTGTTTGCAACCACCGAGAATGGCGTCGACGTTGGCGTGTTCAGAGTCGCCGCCGGTTGAGAATATTCCCAAGCGACCGAGGTTGGTGTACGGAGTCGTCTACATAGCCGAGAAGTGCTGGGAAAAGTTCAGGAAGGATGCGATGTTCGCGCTCTACACTCCCTTCATCGTCTCTTTGGCGTCGGAGAATCTCAAGGACGAGACGTTCAGACAGTTCGTCGCACAGGACGTTTGTTTTCCTTTTTTCCTTTTTTTATTTTTATTTTTTATAACATCCTCTAGAAAGTGTAGTAACTTAGGAATCAATAATGATGGATGTATTGCAGGTTTGAGTTAGTAGAAACATACGTACAGGATGATGATGCAAAGCATCAGATTAATGAGTTGAGGAAGACTACCATAAACTTGCATGATTCCTTTGTCCAGGTAAAAATACTTGTGGTTATTTACTTGCTTGCACATATCATTTTTTTTTTCTTGTGCAAATTGTCCAGGATTGCCTTCTGCATCTTCTTCATACTAGATCTGTTCTTTAAATGTATGGATTTTCCAAATGTCCTAGTATTGGAGGAGGACTTGCCAATGACACTTTGGCTCAACTCCTTGAGTAGCCAAGGAGAGGCGGCTTCCCCTTATCTTGAGGTTAGAAGCCCAACTTACCCAACAAAAAAAGTAAAATCAAATAGAGTACTCGCACAGTGGACTCTTAGTAGTTTAGTTTACTCTTGGACCTTCCATTTGAGCTCCTACATTCAATACATTGGAGAAACTATATGTTACCTTAACTTGGAAGTTGGACCTGATCCACCCTGCCTAATTATTAAAGTTCTATCCATTGTTTTATACTAGCTATGGATTCAATATTTATAATAATAATAATTATTATTATTATTTAGGGCTGATTACCTTGAATGAGGAATTGAGGATGCTACTGCAGTATTTTGTTTCTTTGTTGGCATGTGTTTTCAACAGTGATTAAACTATATGATTTAGATTCTGAAATTTATTTGTCATTATGTGGGAAAACTTTGCTTTTGATTAAGTTTAACAAGAAGAGTTAATATGGACATGATTATTTGTCACCTGAATTTTAAGCAAAGCACATGATTATTTGTCATGAAACCAAGTTTACAGAAAGTCAGCACCTCTGATCTGATGGATGAATTCAGTCGATCTGTTGCACATTTGATGTGATCTTTTGTAAGATATATATTGGATAAAACTATAATGCTTTCTTGTGAAGTTGTTTTATCTATCTATCTATATTATGGAGAATAAATTTTTGCACTTGCATCTACCTATTATTGTGTGCTGAGTTAGTTCTAAGTGCAAAGATTTCTTGTTAGCTACAATGTCAGGAAAGATTGATGGGGTCAAAGCTACTGGTAAATTATCAACTCCTTTTGAGAAAACCAAGTTGTCCGCTTATACCCTAGGTGCTATTGCATCTTGCATGATGCTTTATGCCTACATTGGTAAGGAGCTGCAGGACCTTATTGATCGTAAAAGTAATCACCGGTACAAGAAGTGGATTGAGAATTACTCATCAGACAGTTTTCAGGTTTGGTTATTTTTGTTTTCTTTGAACCCAAATAAGTACTCAATTATTCTTTTTATCATTATCTGCAGTTCAAACTTTTTAGAAGATACAAATGACTTGTTTCTTACCGGAGTGTTTTTGTTTTCTAGGATTTTTCTTTGCAAACAGGGGACTTGCTGAACAATTCCTCTCTATGTTCTTAATGTCTGTCGTCTACTAGGGGGTTTAAATGGCCTAAAGGTGCATGCAAATGAGCTCGAATATGAAGAATCTGTGTGCACGGGTGAAATCGTGAGGAAGGTGGAGTCCCCCATTGACAAGGTTCAAGCTTTTGGTAAAATCATAGAGAGCTGCGGAAAAGGGAATGATAAGAAGAAACTACTGAGTGTATACATCGGAGGGCATTCAGTAAATGACTTGCTTTGTTTGGTTGAAGCAGATGTAGGCATCGTGGTAGATCCAAGCCCAAGTGTGATAAAAGTGGGGAGGCATTTTGGCATCGGATTTATTCCACTGTTTCATGGTGTGGTTGATAAGCAGAAAGAATGTGTCGAGGTCGAGGGAGCAGACACTTCTTCTTCTACTTGGAAAGCAGGGGGGTTGTCCGGCATTCTTTACACAGCCTCAAGCTGGGTTGAGATTCACGCTTTTATCATTGGCTCTTAGAATCATCACTTCCTTTATTTTTTGAGTCACATACAATCACCATTTTACATTGTTGTTGCATGTGTGCACCAAATATAACTTTAACTTAATATTTATAATGTTTATGGGCTATAATGATGGATGAAGTTGTTGCCATGTCTGATTACTGCAAAATAAGTTGTGATGATATTTCAGCTGTGTATAACTGGAATATTATAAAAGCGGAGAGGGGAAAATTCTCAATTCTCAAATGATGGGAAGAAGCTCCTTGATTGTCTGCACAGCTAGCTAGCACTGTGAAAGAGTTTGAATTGGGATTACCCATAAGCCAATAGAAAATTCTTCTTCTTCCAAAATTTTTTTAATGGCTTATGGTTAGTGGTGTGCAAATTTTGATAAAAGTTTGGCTAATGATAGAAGATTTTGGTTAATCGGTTTTTAACCAAAATATATCTGTACTGTACTGTATTGTAGATTCTTAATTTTTATACTGTAGATTCATATATCTGTACTGTAAATTCATAATTTATAAACTGTATAGTTATCAAATTATGAACATATAGTTTTCTGATTTGTGAAAACAAAGTTCAACAATTGGAATCTAAAGTATAAGTTTTATGAATCTACAGTATAGAAGGATGTACAATATAGAAATTATAAATCTACAATATAGAAATTATGGATATGGAATCGTGCCCACCTTACAAGGTGGACACGTGCTCACATCATAATTTGCCATGTAAAAGGCAATTTATATCGTGCACCAGGGCGCACATTGCATTGTGCACCCTGATGCAAAACGTCGTCGTTTTAAATAATTGTATAAAAAATACACATAATTGTATGAATAAATATACATAATTGTATGAACAAACACATATAACTGTTTAAAAAAACACACATAATTGTATGAACATATACCAGTGTTGCAAAAATCGGGCTTAGGCGCCGATTAATCGACGCCTAGGCGCTAGGCGGTCGGCCACCTAGGCGCCCGCCAAGGCGCTTTAGACGGTCTCCAGGCGCCTAGCGATTTTTTCAACATTGACAAATACACATAATGATATAAACAGATACACATAATCACGTTAACTCCCTTCCGCGCGTCTCAAACGATGTCATTTTAGGAGGCGCGAAGCGCACAGTACTGCGCGTGCCGTGGTGCAGGGTATAACGATTGCATATAAAATGGTTTGATTTCTTTTGTTAAATGGGGATGATTGATAATTCCGCAATAATTTGGGTTGAAAGAAAAAAATACGAGAAATTTCTGGTTAGGGTAAAAAAACATAAAAATAAAAAAGTTGAAGGACGAAAGTCCTAAAATCCTTTTCTCCCGCTCCTTGTTCAAAATTTCAAATAATTTTCTCCTCCGTCGTCTTCCAGAGCAGAAAGACGGAAAGGGATATGGCTGTCATTTCCAAAATCTCGGCGGACGCCACCGCCACCTCCGTCGAGGATCCTCTTGTTCCTTGGCTCTGGTAAGTTCCTCAGACTTCAATTTTCTGCTGATATACTTAACCGAACATTCAGTTATTTTCTATATTTTATCTTATTAGGTCAATTAAGAAAGCACTGGACTCTCAAAGCTCAGGCGGAAGCAACAGTGATGAAGATCTCGATCGGATTGTTTCAGATTGCATCCAGACCTTCAAAAAGGATCCTCGGTACCAGAATGACGTCAGATTTCTCCAGATTTGGTTTCTCTACGTAATACATTATCCACTTTTATTTTTCTGTTGTTGGTTATATATGCGTTATTGATCTATGTGCAAGAGGTCTGTAAGATGAATAATACATAAAATTTGTGGATTGGCTGTGGTGTAGATGGATGGGAGTTCAGATTATGACAGTGTTTTCAGAGAAATGTTGCAGAATAAGATTTGTTTGTCCAATTGTATGCTTTATGAGAAGTATGCGTTGCTCCTGGAGGCGAAATGCAGGTTGATTGATGCATTTATGGTTTACCACTTGGGCATTTCAAGGTTAGCTTTTCTCCAAGGATTCTTAGCTTTAAAAATAGGCACCTTTACCTATGTATATGGTAATATTTTAATAAGATCAGGATTAATTTGGCTTCAGAAATGCTGAGCCGCTAGGCAGGTTGAAGAAGGCGCAAGTTTTGTTTCTTGAAAGAGTGTCTGAATTCAGAATGGCAAATGGTTCACTCCAGAAGGTATATTCAGTTGGCACTTGTAGTTTACCTCAATGCCTTAGATCATGGATTGTGTGCTAGTTTATCTGCTATATAGCATGCATGACTTTTTCTCGCTATTCTTCACAGTAACAGTTACTGGTAGCAACTTATATTTATGACGATTAAATGATTTACGAGTTGAATTAGAGGTTTAACATGAATGCGTAACATGTGAAGCTTGTGTATTCTGCTTTTGAGCAGGATGAGATTAGATGATGAGAAAACTTGTATCCCCTGTTATTGACAAATATATTCTGTTTATGATATGCCAATCTTATATTGGATATGATCTATCATTGGGGTAGTTGAATGCAGTATTTGCTAAAGCTCTATGCTTGGATCTTTCAACTTAGCAATATAAATTGTTTGCTATAATGGTGATTACAGGTTTACACCCAGTGTGTCTTATGCTGCCACCTCTTACATTTGCTTTGTATATGTAGATAATAAACTGAAGAATATATTTGATAGATTGAAATAATCTGTACATCAGTATATATATAAGGAACCTATTATCAAAAGGTATGACCTAAATTAAAAGACATGACTCTTCTAATATATTTCTAGTTATCTGCATATTCATTTCGCAGGACACTCAATCAGAGAACGGTGAACCACTTGTGAATCCATGGGTGATCTCAGTCATTAAGAATCTACTGCAGAAGATGAACCCTCAGATATTGAAATATGATGTGAGACATATAACTCTTATTTTGATTTCCTGATAAATCCTTCTATATTATTTAAACTTCTAGTCTCATTGGAAGATACTTTTATCAGGGATATCATCTGAGCAAAAAGGCTTACCCTGGAAAGGTGTCATTATCTACTTTGCTGAAATCAGGCAGGAATAAAACCATTGATTTAGGTAATTAATTAATCATCGATGTATAAGTTCAAATGTGCATAGCTTCGATTTTTATCTATGATGATCTTTTATTCTATGGTAGAAATCTTTCAATATATTGTCATTGTTCACTATTATAAGTGTTAAGAGTCCCACATTGAAAAAATAATATAGAATATATGGATTTATATGGTCATGGGTTAGATTAGCTAATGGATTGCAATAGTTATACCATGGACCCAGGTCCACCTTGTCTCAGTCTTTTACAGAATAATTTGCTAAACATTCGGTTCTTCAATGAAATTCCTCAAGTACCATTTCAAATATTTTTAGGTGGTTTTGCATACCAAATCAAAGGCTGTGCGGGTAAGGGTGGATTTGCACAGGTGTTTAAAGCATACTTTGATAGTAATCCAGATGAGGTTGTTGCACTAAAGGTAATTAAAGTGGTTCTACTTGATTTCCCTTAATGAAGTTGGTTTGACAACTGGATCTTGTTTTATTTCTCATTGTACTTGAATTTATGACAGATTCAAAAACCAGCTTTCCCTTGGGAATTTTACATGTATCGTCAACTGGACATACGGATTCCACAAAAGGAGGTATGTCAGTTTTGAAGCTAGACTACTTGTGTGTATGTTGTTTAGGGTTGTGCTTCCAGCTTACCTATATTCCTTCTCCATTAGAGGTTGAATTTTGGCTTTGCCCACCGGTTGCATCTTTATTCAGACTACAGCATACTGGTCTCTGATTTTGTGGCTCATGGGACACTTCAGGTAGGTGTTTTCTGATCTTGCATTTGTTAATTTTTTCTATTTGAACCCTATAATTCCTGGCTGATGCTTTCCTTCTTGATTATGTGATTTCTTTGCAGGATGCCATAAATTCTAATGCAGTGATTGGAGGTTCCATGGAAGAAATATTATGCATTTATTACACCATAGAGATGCTCTGCATGTTGGAAACCCTACATGGTGCTGCAATTATCCATGGTGACTTCAAGCCTGATAATCTGCTTATTCGTTATGCAAGGTATCCATTACAATAAATTCAGACATAATGCATTCTACAGAATATGAATGGAGGGAACATATTTTACTAGAATTTCTAGATGATTGAACTCTTAAAAACTTATAATTAATGGTACTTCCTCAGACATTTGCCTTTGCCTGAAATTTTCCAGTTTTAGAGAACTACTGATAGATCTTTTACAAAAAGTAGGTGTATGACTACTTTGTTGGCTTCACTATGCAAATAATGATTAGAGACTTCAATCCTGTTTTGCTAGGGATGACCTAACAGAAGATAAAGAAGCTTTACGTAACCGCACTGGTCCATGGCGTGACCAGGTAATCCTAGATACCCTATGCCTTTGTACCAGATAGGTATTGGTATATATACACTATTGGAATCAAATCCGATAATAGGGTATTAAAGTGTTTAACTAAACGCCACTTATATTACTCTCACCAGCTATTGTCTTTCAGGGACTTTGTCTTGTTGATTGGGGTAGGGGAATTGATCTCAGCCTCTTCCCTGAAAAGACACAATTTATAGGGGACTGTCGAACATCTGGCTTTCGTTGCATTGAAATGCAAGAGAATAAGCCATGGACATTTCAGGCAAGTAACTCTCTTAAAAATAGGAAGCAAATTACAATTGAATGTTTAGTTCACAAGACTAAGAGAGACTGGCTTTCATCATTGGTGCCTTGGTGGACAACAGGTGGATACATATGGCCTATGTGTGATTGTTCATATGATGCTTTACAATTCCTACATGGAGATTGACAAAAGAACAGCTCGTGGTGGTGGCGACTACATCTATCAGCCCAAGTCACATTTGAAACGGTATTTGTTTCGTTATTTTCATCCTTTACTACTCGTAAACTCTTTGCAATAACATGATCAAGTCATTGGCATTTACACTTGGTTTTCTTTTAGGTACTGGAATATTAAACTGTGGCAGAACTTATTCGCCAAGTTGCTTAACCCCGATCCTAACAAAGATCACCTGACATTGTTGAAGAATCTGAGGGAGTCATTTCAAGATTATATGTGCTCAGATCCCCAGTTGCTTAGGAGGCTCAGACAATTATTACTGAAGCAAAAATCTTCCCTATGTTCTTCTTAGTCATCACCAAATGTGCCACTCCTATAAGTGTGTTTTCTTGTCCCTTTGATTGTTTCCCCAAGAAATCCAGTGTGCATTTTGGGCCTATGGCGTTTACAGGGTGCTGTGTGGACTTCAGGAATCACTATCTCCGTGATGAGAATGATGTACTTAGAATCTTGTGATATGGTGTTTTCTACTCTGAGGTTGTATTGATTACACCAGTAAGGTCTCCTCGTACAGTAATTATTATGTTTACCATCAACTTAAAATTTTGAATGTATATGCTTGTGCTATATGGAAATCACTTGGGTAACTCGAAATAACTATAACTAAAAGATTATAAGTTCAACTTTTGATGGGAATTGTCAATGTTTGAATTGATTAGATGTAGATAATTTAAATTAATTTGTCGGTTAGGGTCACAACACCCAAAGCACGTAGCAAAGAATCACTTTTTATTGCTATACAAACACTAGACATAAATGAACACATTAAATATAATTTTTTTTTTTTTTTATGTCAAAGGGAGTATTTGGTAAATAACTGTTAGCTAATTGAGTTAATGAATTTGAGTAGTTGATTGTAGAAAAATGTTTGATAAATTAATTGTTTGTTGATAGCTGATTACATGCAAAATTACTTTTTCAAAAATAATCAAAAAAATTGTTAACGAGCAATTTTTTAAATTTTAACATTTTGGAACAACAAGCTATTACATTTTGGAGTAAGATAAGCTAAAATTGACTAATAAGCTAACTATGTGCGCAATATTAGTTATTTAGAAATTGAGATAAATATTAATATAGATGACAATTTGTTGATAAGATTAACACTAGTTTTCCCTAACCTAAAAATGGTTTGACCAGAGCACCATACCTTAATCAGGAGTTGACTATAGCATAAAACTATGATTATCACTTCGGACCCAAGAAATCTCATGCTTCACCTCAGAACAATGAACTATGAAAAAACTGTCTTCCTCAACTTCCACTTCAAACAACCGACCATGAAAGCTACATGGTAGCAGCCATGTCCATATCATGGATATATCAATTCTCACCCTGCAAACGACAGATATCCAATCCCAAATACATGAAACCTGAAACATAGTACACTACCAAATACTGTTTTGTCAATGGTTTTTTCAACTTTCAGGAGTGTCTAGAGACTTCAGTACATCATCATCTAGCAGAAGCAAGAAATCTTAGATATAAGCCCGCACTAGTAGCTCAGTAGGTTCTCAGGTAGTATATTGTGGGTAATGACACAATACCGAGCCTAGCAACTATAGTGTAGGTGTTAGACCTAATGTGATGAATTTCTTATGGGCACTAGGCATTGATCCTTAGAAGTAAGAAATCTTGAAATGTGGTTCGCATGGGCTTAACTCATTGGTTCAGTAAGCAATATTTGGGAAAAGAGACCAAGGTTTGAACCTCGATAGCGATAGTGGGGGAATTATGCTCAAAGTGGGCAGATGCCTTGTGAGTACCGGCATTTGACCATGTCTGCTGAGCCATTGCGTCGCTGTGATTTACACCTTCCAAATGCTCTGTCGGGCCGAGGTGTAGTGGACCCATTGGGGTTGGGGATTGAACCTTGAGAGAAGAAATCTTGAAATGTGCCCATACGGATATCTCAGTTGGTCCTTAGATGATAGATTGTGGACAAAGACATAAGATTAAGCCTGACAACTATAGTGTGTGTGTTACACTAACTGTGTTGATTCTTTGTGAGCACTAGACATTGGTCCTCCTATCTAAGAAACCTTTTAGTCACCGTGATATACCACACCACAATTCTGTCGGACCAATGTGTGAAGGCCCTTCGGACTAGGGATGGCAACGCGGTGGGACGGGATCCCTGTCCCCAATCCCCGAATTTTTTTCCCATCCCCGTCCCCGTTAGGAACGGGAACGGGGCACATTGCCATCCCAAGGCGGGAATTTTGCCTGTGGGCAAGAAATCTTGAAATGCGGTAGGAATCCATAATTATGCTGGCAGCCTAATTTTGACAGGTGAAACTTATGTCATTTTAATTGGTGGTTGTCTCAGTTACTAATGGAGATTAAAAAAAGTTAATGATCCATATTAAGCAAAAGCTGCATAATTAACCAGAAGACTTGGGGATAGGAGTTTGAAAAGGAGAGAGGGAAAGCTCCCTACAAAAACCAGGAAGCAGGGATGATCAGTCTGCAGAATTAACCATAATGGCTTCTTCACTGCCCTTTTCCTCCACTGCCAGTGCCCTGGTTCTTCTGCTGCTAACTCTTTCCTCCTTCAAGATTTCATCGAATGCCGCCCTTCATCCCCGCCACCCATCCACCAATGCAACAGCGAGCCCCCCGAGGCTTCAGCAGGCCTATGTGGCTCTCCAGGCATGGAAGAAGGTGATCTACTCTGATCCCCACAACATCACTTCCAACTGGGAAGGAACTTCAGTCTGCAACTACACAGGCATTTACTGTGCCCCATTCCCTAATGACACTTCAATCCAAGTGGTGGCTGGGATTGACCTAAACCATGCAGACATAGCCGGTTTCTTGCCTGATGAGCTTGGCCTCCTCACAGACCTTTCACTCATCCATCTAAACAGTAACAGGTTCTGTGGAATCCTCCCCGAAACTCTCTCCAATCTCGCTCTTCTCTTCGAGCTAGACCTCAGTAACAACAGATTCGTAGGCCCTTTCCCTTCTGTAGTCCTGTCTTTGCCTTCCTTGAAATACCTTGATCTTCGTTACAATGAGTTCGAGGGGCAGCTGCCCTCGGAGCTCTTCAGCAGAAGCCTCGACGCCATCTTTGTCAACAACAACCGCTTCTCTTCCATGATCCCATCAAACCTCGGGTCAAGCTCAGCCTCTGTTGTCGTGTTTGCCAACAACTTCTTTGGAGGATGCCTTCCCCCTAGCATAGCCAATTTCGCCAACACCCTCGAAGAGCTCTTGCTCATCAACACCAGCTTATCGGGCTGCCTGCCACCCGAAGTGGGAGATTTATACAAACTGAGGGTTTTAGATGTTAGCCATAATGATCTGATAGGGCCAATACCTTATAGCATTGCAGGGCTGTCCCACTTGGAGATCCTAAATTTAGGCCATAATATGTTCAGAGGAAATGTGCCAGAAGGGGTCTGTGACTTGCCCAACCTATCAAACTTCACATTATCTTACAATTTCTTCTGTGAAGAAGATGGGATCTGTAGCAACCTTACATCAAAGGGTATCATGTTTGATGACCGGAGAAACTGTTTGCCCGAGAAGCCATTGCAGAGAAGCAAGAAGGAATGTGAGGCAGCATATGAACACCCTGTAGACTGCCTTGCTGATGGCCACTGTGGTGCATGATCTTTCCTGGATAACTTTTTTTTTTTTTTTTTTTTTTTTTTCCCGCATTCTTGATTTCTCTTACACTATTTAAGGACAGCAAAATAATGATCAAAAGCTTGGTTTCAGCTAATATTTTAAATGGATTTTAGCAGATTTGTATATTAGTTGAAGTCTGTAAATGGTGTGGCTTTCATTTCATCATTCCTGCATAGTTGCATACTTGCATGTGAGATGTACAACAAGATTCTTGAGATATGTAATAACAGGGGAGCTTAAAGTACAAATCTTTTGAGCAATTTATTACTTCTTGAATCTTGATACTGTATGTACAGTCTGTATGTAATTGTAAATCAAGAATCTTGAATCATAGTATCATACACTGGATTTACAGATTAAAAATCGCAAGTCTATGATCTGCAGAATTGCACACTTCTCAGCAGAGGTAAAAACACAGATTCGTCGAAACAAGGTAAAATGGACAAGAATAAGCACTGCCATTAATGGATTCTTACAAAGAGTATATTGTACATTATAATTGCAGCAATTCAGGGCAGACCTGCAGTCTCTATGTTAGTTTTGTTGTGTGAAAGAGCCGGCTCAGTGTAATCACATTTGCCCTTCAACCTGGGGAAAGACACACCGATGTCACCAAAAGTCTAAAACTGATCTCGAGAATTTGTGGTTTAAGCATTAAACATAAGAATGACGGTTTGTAGAGCTATAAACATGTCGGTAACTGAATCATTTGAATGTGGTTCGGTGAAGAGTGGTGCAAAGTCGTTTTACCTTTACAGAACGGTGGCCAACGTTTCAGCAGCTCTGTAATTAATACATATAAACACGGGATAATACAATCAACTTAAGCCGGGGGGAGAGGCCTCCGGCAAGTTGGACACTCCATCTTTATGTCCATCCATCTTTGCAAACAGCCAGAATGAAAGAAATGATCACAGGGTGTCACCTGAACAATATAGTCGCGGTTAAAACCAAACAGAAGAAAATCTTAGAGAAAAACCAAAAAATTTTGTCACGGTACCATGCAATCATTGGAACGCTGACTCAGGTCGATGTTAGTCATGCAAATAACACAATCAATAGGCTGAACTGCATCTTGATCGAACTTTCTATAATAGCTGTACTTCTCGGGTAAAATCTACAATGCCAAGAAAATATTGCAGAGATCAGTTATCAAAACAAAACATATCCATCCTATTCTTCTCGCATGGAAATATAGGCCTCCAAAGCAAGTTTAAAGAAAAAAAATAATAAAAATAATAGCCGTATCATCTATGTAGGGCGGAGGCCAGTGAAGGACTAAGTCCAGTAATTGGTGGCTAGGGGAATTGTTGGGCAGAGGCCTGAAGGGCCAAGTTCAGAACCCTGTCTCTCGAAAATGTGGCGGGGTACAAAGAAATAAAGTTGCGCCTTCACTACGAGTTATAGCTTTTGGCATAATGGTAAAAGGAAATTAGAAAATGATGACTCTGTCCAACCTGACGTGGAATGAACCACCGAGATCCAAAATAGTGCTGCAGAAGAAGAATTGACGCCTGAATTCCCATAAAAATACCCAAGCAAATACACCATTTCTTGTCTGTCTCTATGCGCATGAAGTTGTGAGGACAGCCAAAGATATACAGTGGAATTGCTAGCCGAGTAATAGTCATTCCTAAGATGTAATGAGGATGCAGCGGTTTTCTCGAGTCACGAATGACATTAGTTATGATTTGGGGTATCCAAAAAGCGTGGAGAAGGAGAAGAATAGGCCGCAGAAACTTGTGAAATTCATACATGATCAAAATGCCACCTAAGAGTATGCCATCTGCAAAATAGTTGAAGATAAAAAGAAGAAAAAATAACAATATTTAGAATCTGACAATACGCAAAGAAAGATGTGCACAGTTAGCAGCATTTAGAAAATAAGAGCTTACAGAAACGGCTGTACAAAACTGACAATTCACGTCTCATTGCTTCCCAACCCTCTCCACTGTTCATAGGTCTACTTGCTTTCCAGATAGCAAGAAGGTATCGCATCTCGAAAATTGAGAAAACCACAAACTTGAAAAATGCAGCAGTTGCGAAAGCATTGAAGAGGGACTCTATAAATCAATAAAGAATACTTACATTAGCAAACATTCACCAGATTTTACATAAAAACGTTAAGTAGTGAGATTAATGAAGAAGCAAAAGTTGCAAACAGAATTAGAAAGGATTTCATTTTGGTTGAGAATTTCCTTGGTTTTCATTGTCGATCCAAGATCCAAGCTGCTAGACTATAAGGTCTTTGGCTTGAAGGGAAGTTTATTATGGATTGGGTAGAAAACAACTAGTCACCAAGAGTGGCATTAAGTTTATAAAAGGACTCTTAAACTTCAGAACTAATAGAGCGAGCTTATTAGACTACTTAGACTAACAATAATACATTTTACTGATTAGAACTTACCAACCAGTATCCCTGCAGTCAGATGCAAAAGACATAGATAAGCATCCATGATTGCCTGTTGCCCGATCATCAAAATTGAAACTTTGGCAGCTCCCTGAGAAAAAACGATGTTAAAGCATTAGCCACCGTTTCAATAAATTAGGACTCAGAAAGAAACGTATATCAGAAGCAACAGTAATGCACACTAAAAGAATTGTTATGATGCAGAGAGAAGACATAGTCCTTACTGATTGGGTGTTACTATGTTCCATTTGCCGAATCAGTAATAAAACTTGAAGGAAAGAGACCTGAACATCTTTAGTTAAAGAATCCATCCAATAACCAGCTTGGTTGGCGTGAGTGCCATGCACTCTCATCCCTTAAGAGAGGTCAGGAGTTCGAACCCCCTCTCATATGGAAAAGCCTATCTGGCCAGCACTTTGCCCCTTAATTGGGCCGGCCCGGTGCGAATGGGGATTAGTCTGAGTATGGTACGGGCTTAAAGGTGTCTCCTACAGTTAGGGCCTGCTCAGGACACCTCATGGCCTAACCAAAAAAAAAGAATCCATCCAAATGCAGTCAAAAGAAACAATAATCTAAGAAACTAGAACCGGTGAAGGATACAAAGGTGACCATCAACGTGTAATTCACCGCTTTGTTGTAGTAAACCTCAATATTGATAGATGAAGCATTCAGTAGGATGGGTGAGAAGCAATCGCCATCGTCATTTACTGAAGGGCTTTCCATTAATCCTTCTAAATGATATCGATCATGATCTCCATCTAGGAAAAACACAATAGAGTAACCCAAGATATAGTCACACGCTCTTGGAGACATTTTCACAAACCAATAAAATATAAGCTAGTACAGTTATAGAAATATAGAATGTATAAAATTCCAATTGTAGCTTGTAATGTCTTCATGCTACATGGAATTCAATTCTAACATCATAAAGGCCATTCAAATAGGGTCCAAAATGCAAAATATATATATATATATATATATATATATATATATATATATATATAAATTATCAGAAAGTTACAACCTCAGGCTAATGAAAGCCCTTACAGAATAACTACTGTGAGAACCCACTATACGGAAGAATACTCTATTTCGTCAAAGTAACTTTCCAAAAGAGATTGAGTCAGTGACTAAATTTTTTTTACTCTTGCCGGCATTCTCTAACTGGCACTTCACTCAAACCGCTTGCCTTAACCATGCAAGGGTTTTCATTAGAATTCAAGAATCAAGATTGCCACCTGCAGTGAGCTAAGCACCATACAAATGGTACTTTCTGAAGGGGTCCATGAAGCTAAGCATCTAGAATTCTACTGTTCAATCAATAAGGCAGCAATATTAGGGAAGTGGCAGTTGTGAATTGTCATTAGGCTTTATTTAAGTCTGGGCTTTTTATACACATTCTCCACTTTACATCTTACTTTGCTACCAATGCCATATTGGCTAGCCATTTTAGGTAATGGTCATATTTAATACAAGAGAACCTATGTTATTGTTGATGAGTGAACTAAGCACTTTATTTTCCAGAACTCAAGTAAATATGCAATCCGGATTATAAAAGCACAGAAAGTGCAACAAATGGATAGCAAAATATCTATTGGTTAACTAATGCCAAGTTGTTTCTTAAATAGACAAGTTGCAATGGATACAATTAACAAAGAAATTATACACATTTTGAGAACTGAATACCATTTTGGGCGGATGAGACTCGGGAAATTTGTGCTGCAATTTCAATGTTACAATGTTTTTCCATTTCATAAATTGGTGCTGTCAAAAACAGATACATAAGTTAGTTTAAGCCTATAGTTGAATGAAAAAGTAGTGGTGCATGATTAAGAAGTTAGATTACAGTGTTTCCTTTTCCAAATTTTATCTCGAGGAGACTCCTGGAACACCTGGGATGAAAAAACTCCAAGCTGTTCAAAGACCACACACAAGCTAGTTTAGTGTTAGGTCAAAGATCTTCAGGTAGCACCAATAAAAATAAATGTCAATTTCAAAACCACCATTTTTAAACAATACTTTGCACAAAACCATTGTAAAAACGCACAAGTAGATATCCAAGCAATTACCAAGTGATAAGGATTTGACAACAGATACTCATCTTCATGGCCAAACTCCCCTTCTTTGCCACTGCAAATCGAAAGTAAATAGATTAGGTGATTTGGGGATAATTTTATAGGAAACAATGAATCTGGTAATTTAAGTAAGAAGAGGATACCTGTAAGCTACCATTCGGAGTTGTCTGAAAGGCCAAATATATACACCTTCTACACGGATTTTAGCACCAGCAACTTCATGTTCATTATCAAAAACATCATGGAAAACCATCATCCCCTACTCAACATTAAGGTAAATGTATTAAAAACGGTGATTCCATTACAGAATATCATTAGTGAAGAAAGAAAAGCCAATAAGGTGCTCCTGCGGAACACTACAAGTACTTATGAAATAATGAACAGTGATAATAAAAAAAAAAAAAAAAATAGCAATGTTTTGTTCTCATACATCATGTGGTGACTTTTAAGAGCTCATTATACTCGTCAATGTAAAAGCACTGAAAGCTAAAAGACTTGAGCACATTATCAAGTATATGTGAAAGCTTGCAAGGCACTGACGTAATCATAGACTAATGCACAAACAAATTCAACATGATATCATTGGTCAACCATATTACTTGGTTCATAGGCAATGAGGCCAGTTAAGCACTCTGCTATC